AGATTCTGTGTCTCCTTCTCTCTCTGCCCCTCCTCCGCTCACACTCTTTCTCACTCTCTCAAAAATAAATAAATGTAAAAGTAAATAAATAAGTAAATATTAACAGTAGATAGTGCTTCTTAAGGAAGCCCCTGGTAAGAAACAACTGAGGGATGGGAGAGGAAAATAAAATGGACATACACAGTGAACAGGACACAGCCCCAGGGCAGCGCTTCCCAAACTCCAGTCAATGGACTTTGGGATGGGCCTAGGGCTCTGCATTGCCGACAAGCTTCCGGCTGTGATGCAGCGGGCCGCACTGCCCACACTTGGGGTACCTAGGACATGGGGTGCAGCAGGTCTCAAGGGCCAAGCCTGTCCCTCTGTCTGTGTCTGTATGTCCTGTGAGTGAAGAATGAGTTTTACATTTTTGAATGGCCAGAAGAATGTTTGTATCACATTAAAAAAAAAAAAAAACCATGAAATTCAAATTTCAGTGTCCATCATATTTTATCACAGCCCACTCTTTCGTAGTGTGTCTGGCTGCTGTCACAGGGGCAGAGGACAGAGCCTGCGCGGAACCTGGAATACTTATTTGGTCCTTACAGAAAGGGTTTGCTGAGCCCATGGTGTGGCCGGCCAGGCCCGATGAGGCCAGCAGGGGGCAGCAGAGAGCCGTTTGTGGCCAGGCCTTCCCTGGGACCTGGGGAGGGGTATTTGGAAATGCGGTGTAGGGGGACTAAACTGAAGCTAAGGGTGGAGCTCAGGGCACTGGGAGATGAGGTGGGAGTAAGTAGACAACGTCTGGGGAAGCAGGGCTGAAAGAAGGAATAAGAAGAGATGCTGCTGGGGCTGGCGGGAGAGGTGGGCCCAGAGCAGGTGTGGAGGCCCAGGGATGCTGCGTGGGGCTCGGACGTTGGGCGACGGCAACACGGAGTCACTGCAGCGCTTTAGGCGGTGGAAGGACAGCACCGTTTGGGGGGCGGGGAGACTGTAACTCTGGTGCCATGGGGACGCTGTCACAACAATCTGGGGACAAGATGTTGAGGGTCTGCTGAGGGCGGGCAGCCGGGAAAGGAGCCAGCAGCCAGAGTGAGCGAACCAGCCAACCCACAAGAAGGCTCAGAACTCACTCTCTCTTGGGTTCTGCGTCTTTACCAGGACACCGCGGGTAAACAGCGTCACTACCTTTTCTCTTTCTTTGCCTTGTTTCTTTCTCTCTGCTTTCATGACAACCGACCGTGTTGCAGTTGGGGTGGTTCTCTTTTCCTTCCGGCCTAGCTCTTTTCTTTCCAGTGGCTCCTGCAGATGTGGGATTTCATCCATTACTAGCGCAGCTCTCAGCCTTTGGGGGCCGCCTTTCTGTTCTGCCTTGGAGAAGCGTTTCTTTATTATTATTTTTTTAATATTTATTTTTGGGAGAGCGTAAGAGGGGGAGGGGCAGAGCGAGGGGACAGACAATCCAAAGCGGGCTCTGCGCTGACAGCAGACAGCCCAACGTGGGGCTCGAACTCACAAACTGCGAGATCATGACCTGAGCCGAAGTTGTAAGCTCAACCGACTGAGCCACCCGGATACCCCCAGAAGCGTTTCTTAACGGGGGATGGGGAGGGCTCACAGACTCCTTTTAGAATCTGGTGAACACCGTCATGAACCTCCCCCCAAATGTACACAAACAGGGAGACCCAAAGTCTGACCTATGATGTCAGGGCTCATGCACTCCCTGAGGCCAGCTCCCGTCAAGGGCCCCTGCCCTGGGGGCTGCACGGCTTAGGGTCAGCTGGGCGCCAGCTGCCTCCTGGCTTTAAGGTTTGGGGCTCGACATCAGAGACGCTTGCCTTCCCCCTCCCAAGCTCCTCCCTGCCTTCTCCATGTCTTACGGAGATGATATGGGTACGAAAGCCTTTCTTTGGAATGGATTAAAACTTTCAAACACACAACACAGGAGCTAGACAGACCTCCTAGGATGCCAGGGCCGGTGGTTCTCAGCTGTGTGTTGAGCAGCGTGAAGCCCAGTGGGGAACGTCCCTGAGCAAGAGAATCTGCTAGAAGGCTTCCCAGCTGGGCAGACTAACCTCTTCCTATGCATTGGGCCAGGAAACATTGTGTTCACAGAACTATGAACATGTAGAGTTCTATTTCTGGGGACGTAATACATCATAAAATCCCCTTTATTTGAAACAAAAAGAGTACTATATCAGATGCAGTCTTATTTAGGAAATTATTAGCCTCCATAACTAGAAATAAGCAGATTACATTTTTTAACAGATTAATTTAATCTCCATAACAAGGAATGTTTAGAGGAATATAGTCATTCAATTATGAAATGTTTCCAACGGACAAATGGAAGCTTGGAAGCTTAGGACTACTTTTCAAATTTTCCAGATTTAGAAAATCTAACCCAACGTCAACTTTTAATAAAAGCAGCCTTTCCTAGCAATTGTGGTCTCTTAGCGTGGGTGTATGTGCATGTTTTTAACAACAGCTTTAGCAGAATGTAGTTTATAGAACATACACTTCATTTAAGTCCATAATTTTTTTTAGTCAATTTATTGATGTGACCATCACCACAATAGAACTTTAGAGCCTTTCTTTTTTTGTTGTTTTTAAGTTTATTTATTTATTTTTGAGGGAGAGAGAGAGAGAGAGAGAGGGAGAGAGAGAGAGTGAGTACAAGCAGGAGAGGGGCAGACAGAGAGAGGGAGACCTAGAACCCGAAGCAGGCTCCAGGCCCTGAGCTGTCAGCGCAGAGTCTGACGCGGGGCTCAAACCCACGAACGGTGAGATCATGACCTGAGCTGAAGTCGGACGCTTAACTGACTGTGCCACCCAGGCGCCCCCTAGGGCCTTTCTGTCACCCCCAAGATGGTTTTTTACTTTTTAGTTGCAAGAAGTGGTATTAGAAAAATAAGAATTCTAATCGATTACTTTCTGTGTTTGCCTCCCCAAGGTTGTCTTCTTACTAATGAGTGACCTTTCCTGCTATCTCTTCCAGGCAAACACGACAGAGCTGGAGCAAAGCTCTTGCAATCTTATCAGGAACTGAGGTGAGCGCCATACCAGGCCAGACCGTCCTGGCCCCTCCAGGCCTGGAGCACCAAGGACTCGCTGAAAGAACTTCTAGATCTCTTGACTTTCAGACCTGGCTGCTTTGGAATGTGACTTTTTTTTTTTTTAAATGATAAAGTGCCTGGAAAAGATTTAAACAGAGATATTTCCAGATTCTTATGAAAAGCCTTCTTAGCAGCTCGCAGAGCATTTTCTCACGACAGGTTTTATTGCTTACATTCTTCTGAAATGTTGTAAGGAAACGAAATATTATTTTTGATGGCATCTTAAATGAAATTCTAAACCGAGCGTTTGTTTTACGAATCACTCCTGTCTCCAACATCATGCCCAGTGCCTGACGCCTCAGACATCTGCGTAATCCAATGGAAATGAAGTGGAGACTCTGCGAGATGCTAACTTCTTGATGCACATCCTAAACACCCAGCGTTCTTGAAGCTGGCAACAATTCACACACCTGGTTGCACCGAATTTATTGAAGTGTTGCTGAAAGCTCCCCACCAGCAGCTTTTTTTTAAATTTTTTTTGGCCCATAATGAGATTTTCCAATCTTGGGACCTCTTCATTTCTTTTACTCCCCCATCACAAACTTCTGATTCCTCTCATGCTCGATTTAATGATTTATGACATCCACGGAATTTTTGGCACTTCTGCTGGTGCGGTTTGGGCCGAGAGAACGCGCACGTCCGTATCAGACACGTGCGTGGAGTCTGGGTCCCAGAGTGGCCGGGCTCCTTTAGGCGACACGGGTGGGGCGCGAGGCCGGGACACCGGCAGGGTGGTGCTCCTTGGCCACGTTCCGATACCGGGAAGTAATGCCCTGTCGGGAGGAGCAGATCCAGGCAGGGCTGCGGGCTCCTCTTCTAAAATGCGAGGAAGGAAAGGAAAAAAAAAAAATCAGAGAACATGAACTGTAGGGTGATGGCGAGTCTTGTGTATTTGTAAGCCTAATAGTTGGATCATCCATGACCTGTTTCTTATTCCTGTGTTTTTCCTTGGCAGCAACATTTCCGTGGTTCCTCCTACCCCACCTCCTCTGAGTGAAAGCCAGTGCACCAGCAGCTCCCACAGGGTAATGTGTCTGTGCCTCCCTGGGGAAGGGGACGTGGGAGAGAAATGGAGGAAGAAAGGGGGTCTGAGAGGTTAGACCAAGACCCCCAGAGCAAAGGGATCCAATTGTGGCTGAAGCTGGCCGTAGAGGGAGGCAGAGAATAGAGGCCAGAAGGGCTGGGCCTGCCCAGTGTCTGTGTGTCCGCTATGCTTTGGGGGCCATGGGATCATCTGCATAACAGTGACTCACCTGCCTGCACCCCACAACCTCATGTATACCCCATATCCCCGCCTATACCTCACATCCTCACCTGCACCTGTGCCCCACATCCTTGCCTGTGCCCCCTGTCCTCACCTGCACCCCACCTCCACCTGCACCCCGTGTCCTCACCTGTGCCCTGCATCCCGGCCTGTACCCCACATCCTTGGCTGCACCCCACATCCCCACCACTTTACTCTTGTCATTTTGCTGGCTGTCTTCCCTAACTGTGCACTGTGCTCTTGAATGTGGGGTTCTGAATAGGCTGCAGTGTGTTGGGGGCTTCTGGGGGTGTAAAAAGAAAGAAATACATGTTGATTCACAGGTGTGTGATTTATACGTGTGGGAGTGCCTGGGGTGTGTGTGTGTGAGTGTGTGTGTGTGTACTTTTGTGTGTTTTTAGATGCTAATATAAAGTAGACCAGGAGCATTTCTGTCTACAGAAATTAGTGGTATGATCTTGGAGTTACCTGTGTTCCCACTTGGGAGGTGGAAATAATTATACTCCTCTGGCTTGTTTCTCATGGCTGGTGTGAGAAATTAACAAAATAATGTCTGTACTGGTACTTGGAAACTGTAAAGTAAAAAAAATAAAAATAAAAATAAAAAAAAAAGAAACTGTAAAGTGCCATGAAAACACATGGTCTTGATTATTTTCATTATTACCATTCTGCAAATTAAAGAGAGTAACTATAGCTGTACATAGAAAGGCACATTCATATGCTAGTGAGAGAGAGAGAGAGTGTATTCATTCTTTTTCCAGTTTCAAACTGAGACCCTGGAATGAACTTCAAAATTCTGTTGTCCACTTTCTACTTGAGATTCTAAATCCTCCCAACTTGTTCCAGCACAGATGTATTTCCTGAATGGATGGACAGATGGATGGATGGATGGACGGATGGATGGAACAGGGAGGGAGGGAGGGAGGGATGGAGGGAGGGACAGAGAGATGGAGTGACGGATGAATGGAAGCAGGGAAGGAGGGATGGAGGGATAGGTGGATGGCGGATGGAAACAGGGAAGGAGAGATGAGTGGATGGATGAAGGGAGGGAGGGACGGAGGGAGGGATGGAAACAGGGAAGGAGAGATGGAAGGAAGGAGGGATGGAAGGAGAGATGGATGGAGGGGTGGAGGGATGGATGGATGGATGGATGGATGAATGGAAACAGGGAAGGAGGGTTGGAGGGATGAGTGGATGGAGGGATGGAGGGAGGGATGGAGGGAGGGATGGAAACAGGGAAGGAAGGAAGGAGGGATGAGTGGATGGGTGGCTGGAAGGGTGGAGGCATGGAGGGATGGATGGAGGGGGAGACAGAGGGATGGAGGGAAGGATAGATGGAGGGGGAGACAGAGGGATGGGACTTGAAGGGGAAGTGATCTCCTTTCTATCATTTTTGCTTTTTCTTCTCTCTCCTGCTTGGGGGGGTGGAACTAACTCCTGGCTCCAGGCTGGTCCCCTGAGCCTGGTACCACCATCGGCCCCTGTGTCACTGTTGTGTTGGCTGTTGTGTTGCCATCCCCTCCGCCTGGAGCTGGGGTGGGGTCATACAAGAGCAGGTTAAAGAAGCAGGAGTGTACTTGAGTGCAGTCTGAGCCAGTGAAATGTTGGTTATTATTTCCAAGAGGTAGTTGCTGTCAACGCCCCTTGCTGATGCCCCTTCCTTAGATGTGGGTGTCAAACCTCAGAGGAAAGAAGCTGAGTAAGAGGGTCCCTACCTCCTGAGAGGATAGTGCCCTCCCCTCTCCAGACATGCATGCACACACACCTGCACGCACCCGGAGCACCCCCACTCCACTCACACTTGCCAGTGTTTGGGGGTTGGCGACCTGGAGGCTGCTGGGGCAGACACGGGTCTTCAAATATAACTCTCATTCTCTCTCCTCTGTCTCTGTTTTAGTTACAGGAACTTGGTCAGTTTAAAGGATTTAATAAGTCCATGGAAAATTTGTTTCTGTCTGTTACCACCCACATGAAAAGTAAGTGGATGCCTCTGATGTGTTCCTCCCACCACCCCCCGGGCCAGCCAAGCCCATTGGCCGAGGCACGGCCAGGGACCTCTGTCTCTAGGCCCTGGGGAAAGCCACAGCGCTGGCCCTTCACCCCTCCCATGCAGAGCAGGCCTCTGGTTTCCCGGAGGAAGAGGAGACACCCTTCAGGCCACTGGAGTGGCTCAGTTTACCCCTACTGCTACCCAAACCTGCCAGAGCTCAGCACAGACCTGGCAGCCGGTCCTGGCACCCATCACAGCCTCTCCCAAGGACCAGCGGAGACAGTAGAGGGTTCCAATGAATGAAAACTGGGAGCTTTCAGGCCAGGCAGGGCCCAGCGTCTGTCGCTTGCGGTGGAACTACTTGTCCTTTCCTCCTTGGTAAATTTATCTTCTTCAGTTAGCAGTAACCCTATGATTTGTAGGCGCAAGGAACCCAGAACTACCGCTGCTCAGAATCTTGCCTCTTTCGATGTTGTTTCCTATCGGGTATTTCCCCCTGTGGATCTTAAGCTGCAAATCCCAGAGAATAGCCCCCACTTAGACCTGCTAAGGTGCCCAGAGCAGGCCAGGCATTTAGAGAAGGTCCTGAGTGGGATCAGGGGGTCTTGGGCATCCGTTCTCTCTCACGGTGCTTCTGTTTGGTTTCTGCCCATGCCAATGCCTGCGGATGGGGTCGGGCTTGTGCCTTGGCTCTGAGACAGTCTCATTATTTGATTTTAATTAGTCCTCTGAGTTCCCCCACGAGCCCTTCCGAGCCGTATCGTGACAACGGAAATCAAAGCACCCTTTTTAGATAAACAGGGAAGTGACCATCTCACGAGACCGTCTGTCCCCCTCTGCTTCAGAAGGGCGAAGCAGCCAAATCTCATGCCACCTGTTTGCTAATAGAGCTCAGAGGTTTAAAACCACCCCGTTAGTCTGCCGGGCTTGCGGACCACATCCGCCCTCCGTGCGCACCAGCCTTGGACGCGGGTTTCCAACTGGAACGGCGGCCTGAACTCTGAGCGGCTGGCCCCGTTCCTGCTGACGCTGCTCTTGTCGAAACTTCTCAGCGTCTCTTTCTAGAAGCACGGCCTCTACCCAAATCCATGCGGCTTATGTGAACTCCCTCCCACCACTGTATTTTGGAATCATGTCTCAGCATTAACTCTGGCCTGGTAATCCCTCAGCCAGACGCCCAGAGAGGCAGGACGCACGTTTCATCTTGTCCCATGTCCCACTCGCCCTCCTACACACGCTGGGACCCACGCACGGGTACATTGGAGCGTGCTTTCGTACCCATAGCCTCGCCTGTACCCTTGCTTACATGTTGGAGACTTGCCGTGTCAATACCTCGAGTGTTATGGAGGTGGCATCAGTATAGAGCAGCAGACCCAGGTGGACAGCTGGGGCTAATCCCCGGTGTCAGGGGGTGGCGGGGGGGATTCAAAAGAGCAAAGCAGCATCCTGTCTCTGCCATGGAATATGGACTGAAGCACCCCCCACCCCAGGTCCCCTCCCTGCTTGTTCAGACACTGGTGCTTCATGGGACCCCAGGACCTCAGCCCAGAGGCAGGGGTGGAAACACCCAGCTTTCTGGCCCCCCCCCCCAGGG